GTGGGAGATTAAGAAAGTATAAAACCCAGCTACTCGGGAGGCTGAGGCAGGAAAATTGCTTGAACCCATGAGGTGGAGGTTGCAGTGAGCCGAGATCACACCACCGCACTCTAGCCAGGATGACAAAGAGAGGCTCTGTCTCAAAGAAGAAAAGAAAAAAGTATGAAAAAAGGAAAAACCTCAAAACCTACTTCCTTGTTGCACTGAAGAAACTAAGTACTTATTGTCGGACTAAGGAAACTAAGTACTTATATCACTAAGTAATTATTGCTGCACTAAGTATAAGGTCCTTTCCCAGAACCCAACATGGATCTAAAGCTTCCATTTAGAGTTAGCTGGGCCCGATTAAAATGGAGTCATGAATTGCCCCCTCAGATTCTTTGAGGAATGAATAAGGTATAGCTAAAATAAAGTATGTTGAGGTTCAGGAAGTCTCTTGAGATAGAGTTTCTAGAGGCCCTATAGGAGTGATAGAGATTGAACCAGAGACTCGTGCAAAATGTCTACTCTATCCAATTCAGAAACACAGTCTGACTCAGGGCTGAGTTACATTGCTGGCTGTTAAACATGGGGTACTTGTGAACAATGCTTATGTTATGTGGGTGCCAGATTTAAGAATATCTAGAGAGGAGCTGAAATATGCCCGCCTTTAAAACTACTCCTCTATTCTCCTGAAGCAACCATTGTTAACAGTGGCCCACCCGTCTTTGTGCTTAGGCATATTTTTTTTCCTATAGCATTTTTTACTCTATTGGATATTGCCCCATGAAGTTCCCATCACCTTCATTCAGTTTACTTATTGCATTACCACTTTTTTTTTTTTTTTTTTTTTTTTAGATAGGGTCTCATTCCCATCACCCAGGCTGTAGTGCAGTGGCAAGATCACAGCTCATTACAGTCTTAACCTCGTTGCTGTGATCCTCCTGCCTTACTATTATTGTTTTATTTTATTTTTTGTAGAGATGAGTTCTTACTATGTCGCCAGGCTGATCTCAAACTACCAGGTTCAAGCGATCCTCCCACCTCGGGCTCCTAAAGTGCTGAGATTACACAGGTGTGAGCCACAGCACCCAACCTATCATCTCTTTTTGATTGGTAATTTTATTACAAAAAATAGCATATTAAGCACTATGCAAGTGTGTGGGGTTTTTGGTTTTGTTTTTAGAGACAGGGTTTCATTCTGTTGCCCAGGCTGGAGTGCAGTGCAGTGGCATTACCCGTAACTCACTGCAGCCCTGTCCTGGGCTCAAGCCATTCTGCTTGTTTCCCAAGTAGTTGGGACTACAGGCATGAGTCACCTCACCTGGCCAAGTTTTTAACATTGTTTGAAGTACTTCACATGTAATTATAACTACTCTGAGACAGGTGTAATTAACCCAATTTTTATAGATGAGGAATTTGATGTACTGACAGGATAAATTAGTTGCCCAACGTTACAAGCTTGTAAGTAGTTAGCCAGATTTGACTCAAGAAGTCTTGTATCCAGAGCCACACTAAACCATTAGACCACAACATTTTTACAAAGGACATGTCTCACTGAAATCTCTGCCTCCTGGGTTCAAGCAATTATCCTGCCTCACACTTCTGAGTAGCTGGGATTACAGGCGCGTGACACCACATCCACCTAAATTTTTGTATTTTTAGTAGAGACGGGGTTTCACCATGTAGGTCAGGCTGGTCTCGAACTCCTGGCCTCGTGATCCACACGCCCCCCACCCCCCGCACCCCGTCCTCCCAAAGTGCTGCAATTACAGGCAAGAACCATCGCACCTGGCCGCTGTTCTCATTTTTATTTACTTGAGAGCTGACAAAAACTATTTTGGACTGGCATCAGGCCATAGACCAGGCCTCCAACACATATTTTAAAGAGCCTTTCCCTGGCCAGGTGCGGTGGCTCACGCCTGCGATCACAGCACTTCGGGAGGCCGAGGCAGGTGGATCACCTGAAGTCAGGAGTTCAAGACCAGCCTGGCCAACATGGTGACACTGTCTTTATTAAAAATACAAAAATTAACCAGGTATGGTGACCACTCTTGTAATCCGTTACTCAGGAGGCTGAGGCACAAGAATCGCTTGAACCTGGGAGGCGGAGGTTGCAGTGAGCCAAGATCGTGCCACTGCACTCTGGCTTGGTCTACAGAGTGAGACTCTGTCTCAAAATTGCTCAAATTCATTTGTGTGCAGACTGAATTTGCTGAGATCCATGAATTACTTAGAGGGGGATCTCTACAGAAAATAAGATCCCCCCCCCAAAAAAAGAAAAAAGAAAATAAGAGATTCCAAAAGAGAACTAAAGAGCAATAGCTGAATCTTCTTCTTCTGGATTCACCAGACTACAGACCTATGAGCCTATCGTGTCAGACAGCGATGCTTTGGGAGAAATGACTGCACAGTATTTTAAGCCCTATTGCCCCAGATAATAGTTTTTAGGTATTCAGTGAAATGTTCTAATTTTCCAGGTTTGAAGAGCTAGGTTTTTAGTGACAAGATCTTGCTGTTTTAGGCTGACCTGGAACTCCTGAACTCAAGCAATCCTTCCACCTCAACTTCCCAAGTAGCTAGGACTACAGGCATATGCCACCATGCCCATTTAAACTTTTTTTTTTTTTTTTTGGTAAAGAGCCAATTGCCTAGTCTGGCCTCAAGCTCTAGCCTCAAATGATCCTCCCGCCTCTACCTCCCAAAGTGCTGGGATTATAGGCATAAGTCACCATGCCTGGCCATGTTTACTGGTTTGTTATAAAGATATTACAAAGGACTCAGATGAAGCGATGCATAGGACAAGGTATGGGGGAAGCGGTGCAAAGCTTTAATGCCTTGCCTGGGCGTGCCATCCTCCAGGAACCTCCATGTGTTCAGATATCCAAACTCAGTCCTCTTGGTTTCCTAGGGAGGCTTCACGATGACAGCATTCCTTTCCCCAGGGTATAGGACAGAACCCTCTCTGAAATGGGGGTCTTAGGACTCACAGAAAGGTAGGAGAAGATTAGGAGTCCTGTCTTAGGGAAGGTAAAAGGGCACAAGTTAGGTGAGTTTCCTGTGGCCTCACACACCCAACATGACTATAACAAGGGCTATAGAAGTTATGAGACAGGAACTGTGGGCAAAGAACGGTAAAACCAGAGTGACTAAGGCAGATTACCTAAAATTATGTGTGAAACCATTCTCAGGTACACCATGAATATCAAAGGCGTATTTATAGATATGCTATTCCTGCATTTGTGTAATATACCCATGGGTACTTTTTGCATGCCAAACCACTAGAGATTAACTGGCCAGTGATTTAAAGTCCTAAGTATGCACTTAAACCATGCCAGTTTTAGTACCAGAAAATGTTATTTCTCTACTATAAACCTGAAAAAAACAAACAGGGGTCCCCACACCACTCCCAATTTTGTGCCAAAAATCACATTTACTGAAGTTATATTACAGAAGATAGTGAAGGGGGAGGATTGAGAACTTCCTTAGTACACCCTTACTCCCTCAAATATTTTCTATTAGCACTGTGCATGTATTACTGCCTAGTATCCATTGGCATAGAAGCCTAAGAACTGCTTATGTTGCCAGACTGAGACAAGGATAAGGATACCTGCATTTTTACCAAATACAGGTAAAATCTCATTTGTTGCTGCAATCTTTTCACAATAAAGTTAAGCTGTTAGTCCTTAAGAACCAACAGGGTGGCCAGGTGTGGTGGCTCATGCCTATAATCCAGGCACTTTGGGAGGCCAAGGTGGGCGGATCACTTGAAGCCAAAAGTCTGAGACCAACCTGGTCAACATGGTAAAACCCCATCTCTACTGAAAATACACAAATTAGCTGGTGTGCCCCTGTAGTCCCCAGCTATGTGGGGGGTTGAGGCACGCGAACTGCTTGAACCTGGGAGGTGGAGGTTGCAGTGAGCCAAGATCGCACCATTGCACTCCAGTCTGGGGCAAGAGTAAGATTGTGAGTTTAAAAAAAAAAAAAGTGTGAGGAACCACTCTAATTTGTCACCTAATTCATCAAGATCAGGAAGATTGTCTTAGATCAGGATACCGTTTTAAACATTAAGTACCTGCAAGCCATCTTTCTCCACAGCCAGTCTTCCTCCATACTCTGATTAGCTGCTTCTTGGCTCATCAGTTAAAACATATACAGCAGACACTATGGTCCCGTATTACTACCCAGGTTAAACACTTTGCTGTAATACACTACAGAGCAATAAACACACAACTGATAGTCACTCAGTAATTGCAGAATTGAAAGCAGTTACCACTATTCAAGCAGCGTCAAAACTTTATTTCTCCAGCCATCTTTGATTAGGTCTAGGCAGGCACATTTGCTTTCCTTCAATGTAAAGAAAATGCCTGCAATCACTTAAGCCCAGGAACGATACAGTGAGTTATCAATGTGCCACTGTATATCAGCCTGGACTACAGAGCAAGACCTTCTAAAAAAAGCCTGCCTATCCAACTTTTTGAGATGGAGTGTTGCTCTGTCACCAGGCTGGGGTGCAGTGGCACGAGCTCGGCTCACTACCACCTCTGCCTCCCAGGTTCAAGTGATTCTCCTGCCTCAGCCTCCCAAGTAGCTGGAACTACAGGAATGCGACACCACGCCCAGGTAATTTTTTTAATTAGGGTTTCACCATGTTGGCCAGGACAGTCTCGATCTCGTGATGCGCCCGCCTCGGCCTCCCAACAGACTTTAAATTCGAGCTTCAGAAAGTTCGCCATTAATCCAGGATCCTAACTTGTAATGACTTATAGCAAAGAAGGCTCTTACCCCTGAGCTCACCCAATTGTACTCCAGAGTCAAGTGACTTCACTTTGGGCACAATACCAATCTCAAAATTAAATCCCTCCCCCTCGACATTTTCACTAGTTTTAAGTGTACCCACACATCACTACAGAATTTGACAAAACACCAAGTATGCTACCATGCAACGAAACCTTTATTAACATTTTGAACAGGTTCAGCTATTACTGAAACTTGTAATTTCTAAACTTAAGTTGGGGCAAATGGCTATAGTGCAGAGTAATGCCATCACTGGGCACTGCAAACGCAAGACTTAAGAATTAACAGCCACCCCTCAGGCGCAGGACCAGGTGCAGGGTCGACTCCTTCTGGATGTTGTAGTCAGAGAGAGTGCGGCCATCTTCCAGCTGCTTGCCTGCAAAGATGAGCCTCTGCTGGTCGGGGGGGATGCCTTCTTTATCTTGGATCTTGGCCTTCACATTTTCGATGGTGTCACTGGGCTCCACCTCAAGGGTGATGGTCTTGCCGGTCAGGGTCTTCACAAAGATCTGCATACCACCTCTCAGACGCAGGACCAGGTGCAGGGTCGACTCCTTCTGGATGTTGTAGTCAGAAAGAGTGCGGCCATCTTCCAGCTGCTTGCCTGCAAAGATGAGCCTCTGCTGGTCGGGGGGGATGCCTTCTTTATCCTGGATCTTGGCCTTCACATTTTCGATGGTGTCACTGGGCTCCACTTCCAGGGTGATGGTCTTGCCGGTCAGGGTCTTCACGAAGATCTGCATACCACCTCTCAGGCGCAGGACCAGGTGCAGGGTCGACTCTTTCTGGATGTTGTAGTCAGAAAGAGTGCGGCCATCTTCCAGCTGCTTGCCTGCAAAGATGAGCCTCTGCTGGTCGGGGGGAATGCCTTCCTTATCCTGGATTTTGGCCTTCACATTTTCGATGGTGTCACTGGGCTCCACCTCAAGGGTGATGGTCTTGCCGGTCAGGGTCTTCACGAAGATCTGCATTTTGACCTAGTTTAAAAGTAAAACATAAGCGTGTCATCTCAGGATTATTGTATTTCTTGCTTCATCTAATATGCTTCAAAGTTAGCAACTATTCCTTCAAAATGCCTTAAACACGTTAACATTCCGCAAATCTCCCCCCATTTATACGAGGCTGTCACTTAATACGAAATTCGTCACTCAAGGTTTCAACATCAACGGCGGAGAATCCAGAGCGCTCTCTAACAAGCGTCCACAGCTTTCTCCACTAACAGTTCCGGATATTCAAACTCCCCCGACCGAACTCCAATCTGCCTCAAACCTACGTAAACTGAAAACAAAACCGAACCCACAAGACTCGCGAAGTAAAAATCCCACTAAAACACAAGGGGCACCTCTCTTAAGGTTTCCAAAAGCCACACAAACTACCTCTTTTCCGCCTTCCCCCGAAGTAAACGCAAGGAAATCGCCGTCGGTTAAACGTCCGTTAGTTTCCCTCCGCGCGCGCGCGGCAACCGCCCTCGCCCCCCTCAGGTCAACAAGGCCCACTCTCTCAGACAGGCCCGGCGCCGCGTCACCTCGCCCTCCCCTCCCCCACACCCTCCCCTCA